CTCTCATTTTAGGGCATAATTCATAAAGACTCTGGGCTGGGGTCTGGACTTTTTTAAAATCTCTTTTTGGTTGAAAATGGTTTAAATTTTACCAACTTTAGACCAAGATTCCTGTTTACACTTTCCTCAACCAATGGCATATGCTACTTAGGGTTCCTGAAGCTGATTACACAACAAATGTGCAATCTGCTGATCCGTTTTGGTGCCCCATGTCTGTATTCTTCTTAAACGGCACGCACATCTAGAAGAAAATGTATTCTTTTTTACATCCTTAATCTGACAAACACACAAACTCTTGTCTATAAGAGGTGTCCTGGCTTCTTTTATTAATGCAAAGTGAACTTGGAAAAGTCATTTAACTGTGTATTTCTCTGTAACCCAATTAACACATTAAGCTCATATGAATATTAAGATTTTTAAAATGAATATTACATCTGAAGTTCATTCCTATCTTTTTGATAGAGCAATAAGTCCAGTGTGTAACATGTTATACTCCAGAGTTTTTCCAACCACATCGGCCTCAATGACATGGTTATATTTTAGTATGCTCTCCGTAAAGCTAATGTTTCGACCTGACAGAGGTGCCTGTGTGAAGAACGGACCATCTGACATGCTACTTGTGGAACGGTATATTAAAGAAGCCTGTTAACATGTAGTTTAAAACTCAAAAGAAACTCTGAACAGCTGAAATGCCTTATAAATAGCACAGACCCAGAGGAAGTGCAAACGTCTGCATTGTGAATTGTAGATCTTAATTACCGACAATGGCTGGTACAGCAAGTAGCACGGAAAAAAAGTGAAACAGTTGCACTGTTCATGGCTGGCAATAATTCTTCAGGAAAATATTTACTATCAATCAGTTATGAGAAAAGGGACTCTGTGCTCGTAAAACAGCACGTTGCTTCTCATACCAGGACCATTTTGCTTCAGCATAATCTGAATTTAAACAGCTTGTTTCCTGCGGATATAATTTTGGAAATAAATAAAACAAGTCTTCTATCAAAATCTGGAGTGAGTGGAAAGGAACATCACATTTTTCTGTCTCAGTCAGTTTCAAACAGATTATTAGTCACAAATAAAAAAACAGTGACAACAACCAACAACAACTAAAATACAGAACATCCACAAAGGACTACTGAAGGGGTTTATTTTCCAAACATAAAGAGGAAAAACTTCTGTTATCTGGGCCAGGAATCTGGATAGATGTATTCAAACAATTCAATTTTAACTGCATGTGTTTGTGTATCTGTTTGTGGGTGTGGGTAAGGGTAAATTAGGAAAAAAACCTAAGACCAAAATTTGCAGTAATGGTTTAATAAAGCCAATAGCAAGATAACATAAAAAAGTAATGCCTTTCAGCCTTCCAGTTAGTTTTCTTTACCAATTAAAAAAAATTATGAAGGTTGACAATTAATAAGCATAATGTGATTATGGATTTTAAAGACTAAGTTGACAGTTAATAATGACTGTTCATTTAAAGCTACAATAAACACAGAGCTCATCATGCTCCAAACACAAATCTCATGAAACACAGGGCCATAACCAGGAGAAAGAATTCTGAAAAAAAATAAAAGATATCTCAATGCCTCCAAATGTTACTTGGATTAAATTATAGTGATAAAATAGACCCTCCTTCATTTTTAGTTTTAAATTTTTTTCTTAGGCCTGTTTCTTCAAATTAAAGATTAACAAGATTATTGCCAATTTAGGGTGGTTATAATTTGTTTTATAGCTTTGTTTTCTTATATTCTACAGAGGACTAATGGGTACCCTTCGTAAAGAGCTATTGTAAGACTGTGATATTTCTGGCAAAGAGTTACAATCAAGGTATTATAGGAGTCCAAACATAATACCATTGGTGCTTTTAGGGAAATAAATGGTATTAATGTCTTCTCTAAAACTTACATGAACCGTATTCAATAATAAGGTTTTAGACTATACTTAGTATCTCTAGCCAAGCCAAAGTCACTCTTTGAACTAGAGAACAAAAACGGTTGATATCACTATATTATAGTTGTTCTCACATGGAAATGGTTACAGATTCAGGCCACAATGGAGTATAATCTGAATCAACAACAGACACTTGTACCAAGTTGAGAAAACACTGAAGCCGTATCAATGTAGCAGATGAAACTATTCAGTTAAGGACTAAAGGTGAAGAACAGGAAATAGGGACAAGCTTGCAGACCAACAAAATAATGACAAGTCATTCCATTCAAAGGTCAAGCAATAAATGAGGCCAACAGAAACAGGGATCATGAGACACACAAAACACATGTAAATAAAAAAGAAAAAATTTGGCCGGGCGCAGTGGTTCACACCTGTAATCCCAGCACTTTGGGAGGCCAAGGCGGGCAGATCACCTGAGGTCAAAAGCTCAAGACCAGCCTGGCCAACGTGGTGAAGCCCTGTCTCTACTAAAAAATACAAAAATTAGCTGGGTGTGGTGACACGCTCCTGTAATCCCAGCCACTCAGGAGGCTCAGGCAGGCGAATGCCTTGAACCCAGGAGGTGGAGGTTGTAGTGAGCTGAAATGGCACCACTGTACTCCAGCCTGGGCAACACAGTGAGACTCCATCTCAGAAAAAAAAAAGGAACCAGTGATTTAACTGGGTTCCAATAGGAAATGATAGACATCATTATTAGATTATTTAAGAGGATGATGAAAGGTTATGGGTGTCAGAATAATGTTAAAATAAGCAACAATGCAATGAGAAGGTCACCACCTGGGAGCAAGTAAAACAGACTGATGAGCAGCAATGAGCAAACTTACTTTCTCACTCAATACCCAAGAGCATGGAAGAAATTACATCATTGTGCTAGAGGGCGGAAGGTTTTTAACCATGTACCACCAAAGCAGAGGGTGGGAGAAAAAAAAAACCCAAAAAAACTCCACATCATATAGACACACACCAACCTATTTAGATTAGAGATCCTGGCTTACAAAGTACGGAGAAAACAAAAGGAACAGATGCTCACTTGGCCAGCTCTCAATGAAACTCATTAAAATCATCACCCTGTCCTTGGATTGGTACTCATGCTAAAATTTTACCTTATTTAGCCAGAAGTCACCCACTTGTGATGAAACTAAGAGCAGCATGGCCAAAAAAATAAAAAAAAAAAAAGAATATTTTTATTTTTAAAAGCCCAAATAACTGTGTACTCCTGTTTCCATGCACAAAAGCAGGATATAAAGGAGACTCGGGCTGAGTGCAGTGGCTCACGCTTGTAATCCCAACTCTTTGGCAGGTCTGGGGGATCACTTGAGGCCAGGAGTTCAAGACCAGCCTAGGCAATACAGCAACACCTCATCTCTACAAAACAAAACAAAACACCTCTAAAAAACCAAAAACCAAAAATTAGCTGGGTGTGGTGGCACACGACCGTGTTCTCAGCTACTCGGGAGGCTGAGGCTGGAAGACCAGGGTTTGAGCCCAGGAGGTAAAGGCTGCATTGGGCTAGGATTGTGCCATTGCACACTACCCTGGGGGACAAAGCAAGACCCTGTCTCTAAAAATAAAATAAAACAAAACAAAATAGAGTCAATTGGCACTTGTTAGTTGTGACTAAATGACTGAAAAAATAAAAATGTAATTTATGATCATTACATTTTGTAGCAAAATATTAACATATTTGAATTTAAGAGACATTTAACTGATGAACTCTACCTTTTTAAACTATAATTTGAAATAAATTCTGATATATCTTATATGTATGATTTCAATGGTTATATTTTGTGTGATATATTTCCAGTTGATAGAGCAGGCCCAGAGACTATTAAATGTTTTAAGAAAAAATAAACAAAAACTCTACTTTTGCTATGTTCTGAATGTTTGTATTCTCCCAAATTCATGCAGGCAGACCCCTTGTAAATGGGATTAGTGCCCTTAAAAAAGAGACCTCATATATCTAGCTAGTCTCTTCTATCATGTGAGGATGCAGTGAGAAGGCACCATCTATGAAGCAGAGAGCAAGCCCTCACCAGATACTGAATCTGCTAATGCTCTGATCTCGGACTTCTCAGCCCTTATAAGAAAAAAATTAGTTTTGTTTATAAGCCACCCAGCTTACAGCATTTTTGTTATAGCAGCCCACATGGACTAAGACAACTGTCCTTAGATTTCTGTAGCAAAGGATAGCAACTACATGATACCAGTCCTGGCTCTAATAATAACAGTAAGGAACTGAGGGCCTGGGTCTACAATAAAATAGGTTAAACTAAAATAGTTGCAGTTGGGAATGTTGTAACAGTAACAAATCTATGAATAGATATAAAGGCAATTATTTTTGCAGATAATTCAAGTAAAAGAAACAAAGTCCATACTTAATAGTACTTATTCCTAAAATAAAATATCTGACACTTGAATTTAAGTCAAAGTTCCTTAGTAATGACAGATATTTGGAAAATGTAAGTTATGATAGATAATAAAAAGCATCAGATCTCTAATATTTAAGATAAATTTTACATTTAGGCTATAGAGATGACATATATACATGAAAAAGAGGTAGCCCATAGACATGACTAAACATACTTGTCCATGTGGATCAAGATCATCAAAAGCAGTATTTCTAACATTAGCCACTCAATAAATAAGAATAGTGATATAATAATTGGGTTGCCTACAGCATATTTCACAATCCTTGCAATGATGTGATGTACTCTATACATAACTGCATTTAAAAACCATAAACTTATTAAAACAATTGTACATTATCTTATACAAATCTTACTGATATGTGATAATCTACAACTAGTGTCAAGAAACAAATGTGAATCAGTCTAAAGTGTGACCAGAATTCATAAGCAAAAGATTCTGTTGCAATTAAGAGGTGGAGAATCTAATTTGTAATCTGTTCTAGATAAAATGATGCCTGTTTATATTTTTTTCTTAAATATATAATCCTGTAATAGTCCTTAAGCAATACTGAGTAAAGATGTCTACAGATATGGTACTGTTATGGTGTGGTATAATATACATTGATGAGTAACATTACTTACTTTGGCCACACAATTCTCAGTCTTCATAGCAGTGCTTGCTAAACATACTGTTTCTTGGTTTAAGCAGAGTCTGGCACAGCTGTTGTACGTCTGTAAAAAGAATTTGTTGGAAACAGGTTTTTAAAATATTGAAATATTGCCATATACTGTTTTCATATTCTGCTCTATTTCTCAAGTCAAAACACAAATAGATTTTATCTATAAATTAAGACTTATGGGAACTGAGAGGTAAGTTAGAAAAGGAGGAGGGCAAAGATAGAGCCCATAAAAGCCACTGATGTGCCCATGAACAAGTATGTAAGCAGCAGTGGCTTCATTGTATTAATGATTAACGGAAGGTGAGGGTACTGATTATATAGCATTTTAAAATGCAAATTTGAAGAGCTTAGTTCTGTTTAAAACAACAGTTACTGTTCTAAGAAAAGATTTATTTTTGTTGTGTTTCTTTTTAAACTCTCAAAACGATCAAGATCTGAAAGAAGTGAGAGGGCATGTTTCTTCCCCCCATGTCCCCTTCCCCGCCGGGAGATGAAGTCTTGCCCTGTCGCCCAGGCTGGGGTGCAGTGGCGTGATCTCGGCTCACTGTAACCTCCGCCTCTGGGGTTCAAGCGATTCTCCTGCTTCAGCCTCCCGCTGAGGACATGTTTCTTTCTCTTTTTTTTTTTTTTTTTTTTTTTTTTGAGATAGGGTCTTACTCTGTCACACCAGCTGGAAGTACAGCAGTGAGATCTTGGCTCACTGCAATCTACGCCTCTGGGACTCAAGTGATCCTCTGGAGTAGGTGGGGGACTATAGGTGCATGCTACCACGCCCAGGTAATGTTTTGTATTTTTTGTAGGGATGGGGTTTTGCCATGTTGCCAAAGCTGGTCTTGAACTCCCGAGCTCAAGTGATCCTCCTGCCTCAGGCTTCTAATGTGCTGGGATTACAGGGATGAGCCATCGTGTTCAGCTGACATGTTTCTTATTCAGAACAATAAATGAAAAAATTTCAAACTATCCAGAAAAAAAAAATATTTTAAAACAAATCATGAAATATTTTTAAAAGAATATCAGTACAAGCTTTGACTTTTGGCTTTAAAAAGAAAAAAGAAACCAAAATTGAAAGAACACTGAAAAAAGATAAACCAACATTTACCTAGATCTTTTTTTTTTTTTTTTTTTGAGATGGAGTCTTGCCCTGTTGCCAAGGCTGGAGTGCAGTGGCACAATCTCGGCTCGCTACAAACTCTGCCTCCCAGGTTCAAGCGATTCTCTTGCCTCAGTCTCCCGAGTAGCTGGGCTTACAGGCGCCCGCCACCATGCCCAGCTAATTTTTTGTATTTTTAGTAGAGATGGGGTTTCATCACGTTGGTCAGGCTGGTCTTGAACTCCTGACCTCAGGTGACCCACCCGCCTTGGCCTCCTGAAGTGCTGGGATTACAGGCATAAGCAGCCTCACTGGGCCTATCTAGACCTTAGAAGTTATCCCTTAAGTACATCTGGTAACGTTCAGGAGATAAAATAGAAAAATCAGGCCAGCTGCAGTGGCTCACGCCTGTAATCCTAACACTTTGGGAAGCCGAGGAGGGAAGATCGCCTGAGCTCAGGAGTTTGAGGCCACCCTGGGCAACATGGTGAAACCCTGTCTCTACTAAAATACAAAAATTAGCCGGGCATGGTGGTGGGTACCTGTAGTTCCAGCTACTCAGGAGGCTGAGGCACGAGAATCGCTTGAGCCCAGGAGACGGAGGTTATAGTGAGTCGAGATCACGCCACTGCACTCCAGCCTGGGCAACAGAGCAAGACACCGTCTCCAAATAAAATAGGAAAAAAATCATAGGAAATTGATTTTAAAAATTGGTGGTAACTGGGCATGGTGGCTCACGCCTGTGATCCCAGCATTTTGGTAGGCCAAGGCAGGGGAATCACTTGAGCCTAGGAGTTTGAGATCAGCCCAAGCAACAGAGCAAGGCCCCATCCCTACCAAAAACAAAACAAAACATTGGTAATACTATAGTTATACTTCATGAAAAGCAAACTTATTAGTAATTACTGGACAAAGTATTAATAGAAATGTTTCCTTTTAGTCTTAAGTTTTTACTGATGGTATAAATCATGTTTATCAAACTTTAGTGTGCATCAGAATCATCTGGAAGGAGGGCTTGTTAAAACACAGATCTTGGTGGGGCCCAGTGGCTAACACCTGTAATCCCAGCACTTTGGGAGGCAAAGGCAGGTGGATCACTTGAGATCAGAATTTTGAGACCAGCCTGGCCAACATGGTGAAACTCTGTCTCTACTAAAGAAACAAAAAAAAAATTTAGCCAGACATGGTGCCACGTGCCTGTAATCCAGCTACTCGGAAGGCTGAGGCAGAAGACTCATTTGAACCTGGGAAGCAGAGACTGCAGTGAGCCGAGATCATGCCACTGCACTCCAGCGTGGATGACAGAGCAAGACTGTCTCAAAACAAAATGAAACAAAACAAACATAGATTGCTAGGTTTCATCCCCAGAGCTTCTGAATATTTGCATTTTTAACAAGGCCCCAGTTGACATTAGTGCTGCTGATCCAGCAACACTCTTCGGGAACCATTGCTATAAATATTTGTGTTGGATTTAAGAAGAAAAATCTTAAGACACACTTAAAACCAACAGTAAGAAAGAATTCAATTTTTTAACATTTTGAGATAATTTTAGATTTATGGAACAAGTACAAAAATAGTAAAGGTCAAGAACAGTGGCTCATGCCTATAATACCAGTACTTTGGGAGGTAGAGGCAGGAGGGTTACTTGAAACCAGGAGTTCCATACATTTCTATTAAAAAAAAAAAAATTAACTGGGCGTGGCAGCACAGGCCTGTAGTCCTGGCTACTCGGGAGGATTGACTGAGCCTGGGAGTTGAAGACTGCAGGGAGCTATGATTATCCCACTGAACTCCAGCCTGGGCAACAAATCAAGATACCATCTCTTTAAAAAAAGAAAGAAAGAAAAAATAAATATTTCTTATATACTCGTCACCCAGCTTACCCACATGTTAATATCTTACATAATCACAGAACATTTATCAAAACTAAGAAATTAACTTGGTACTATATAAAGTACAAAACTTACTCAGGTTTCACGTTTTTCCACTAATGCCCTTTTTCTGTTCAGCATCTAATCTAGGATTCCACATTGCATTTATTTGTCACGTCTCTTAGGGCTCCTCTTATTTTGAACAATCCCTCAGTCTTTCCTTGTCTTTCACGACTGATACTGCTAAACAGCACTGATCAGTTAATCTACAGACTGTGCCTCAAGTTGGGTTTGTCTGATGTTTTCTCATGATCAGACTGAGGTTATTTTGGGGAAAGATACTTTAGAGGTGATGTGCCCTTCTCACTGCATCAAATCAGAAGGTATGTTGATATTTCTGGTGATGTTAGCCTTGATTATATAGCTAAGGACATGTCTGCCAAGATTCTCCAATATAAACATTATTTTTCCCTTAGGAATTACTGAATACATATATATATATGGCAAAATACTTTGAGACTATGCAAATATTCTGTTTCTACTTGAATCTCAGCTTGCTAATTTTAGCATCCATTGGAGAATCATGCCTATGGTAATTTTTACTGTGTATTCTAATAGTGAATTTATTATTTTTGTCTTTCCTTCCATGTTTATTAACTGGAATTCTTCTGTAAGGAAAAGCTGTGATTTCACTCCTCATTTGTTTATTTACTCATTTGTTTATTTATATAAGCATGAACAGATATTTTAAAGAATCTGATTTTGATCAACTATTATTCTTTGGAAAGAAAATAGGTAAAATTTAAGAAAAAATGGGGAAAATAATAGAGATATATAACTCCCTATTGATACTATAAAGTCAGTTTTTTGGTATTTTTTTGAAGCGGAGTCTTACTCTGTCTCCCAGGCTGGAGTGCAGTGGCGCAATCTCGGCTCACTGTAACCTGCACCTCCCAGGTTCAAGTGATTCTCCTGCCTCAGCCTACCAAGTAGCTGGGATTACAGACATGTGCCACCACGCCTGGCTAATTTTTTGTATTTTTAGTAGAGACAAGGTTTCACCATGTTGGCCAGGCTGGTCTTGAACTCCTGACCTTAATTGATCTGTCTGCCTTGGCCTCCCAAAGTGCTGAGACTACAGGTGTGAGCCACCATGCCCAGCTGTTTTTCTTTTAAACAAGCTAAACCTTAAAAAATTTACCAACTTGTTTTATTCTTATAATCTAAGCAAAAATGATTTCAAAGTATATATGAAAAAACAAAGCATTAGAAATTAGTGTACAGATTTAAATATTGGTGCATGTAAATTCTGGGCTCTAGATTTGTTATTTCTTTTGCATTGTCTAATTCCACAAACATTTACTATTCATACAAACACAACATAAATATTTTTAAAATAAAATTCACTGTTTTAAAGATAAATTTATTAAGTAATCAGTACTTGCTGAATAAAATATAACTGGACTCAAAGAGTTCTGCTTCCAATAACGGCAGAAATGTTTGTATCAGATTAACCCTCCTGCAGATAGGAAAAAATTTTTAAAGCTATGTAAAGGCACTGGAGATCGACTTAAAATAGGCAGAAATGGGGAAGGAGTGGCCTGATCTTGAAAGAAGAGAACTGGCTGGGTGTGATGGCTCAAGCCTGTAATCCCAGCACTTTGGGAGGCCGAGACGGGCGGATCACGAGGTCAGGAGATCAAGACCATCCTGGCTAACACGGTGAAACCCCGTCTCTACTAAAAAATACAAAGAACTAGCCGGGCGAGGTGGCGGGCGCCTGTAGTCCCAGCTACTTGGGAGGCTGAGACCAGAATGGCATAAACCCGGGAGGCGGAGCTTGCAGTGAGCTGCGATCCGGCCACTGCACTCCAGCCTGGGCTACAGAGCGAGACTCCGTCTCAAAAAAAAGAAAAAAGAAAGAGAACCACATTGGGTGAGACGTGTGTTTATGTGCTTTTCCCCCGAAGGCACTCACGAGTCCACTAGGTGCAGAGTGACTAGAATTCAATCTGAAAGCCACAGTCTATTGGCTTGAGATATCAAGTGATAGAGTTCAAAACTGCCATAGTGGCTGGCAATAGAGAACAG